ACAGACTGTTTCATCGGAGTTCCACCGTGTGTGTGTGTGTGTGTATGTGTGTGTGTGTGTGTGTGTGTGTGTGTGTGTGTGTGTGAGTGCATGTGTGTGTGCATTCACATGCATCTTGTCCATCCGGATAAAACGATTGCACAGGAATAACACCGCTCTTTCAGGAATAGAGCTTGACCCGGTACTAATAGGCAAGAAAAATGAACAGAGTGCAGGTGCCGTTGAAGTCGTGGTTTAAGCGAAAAACACAGTCAACGGAAAAAAAACGAAAACAAGGGCAAAGGGCTTACCCAGTGGCTGGGTGGTACATACATAGAACTGTACCCTGATGGACACAATAATGTTAGGTGCTACCCCCCTTCGAGAAGCGAAGAAAGAAAGGCAAAGAAAACAGATGCAAAGCGCACAACAAGAAAAGAAATGGAAGTAAGCGGGGTAAGATTAAAAAATACGTTGGACCATCGGGCCACATGATAGTAAACTATAATTTTACGGGTATGGTGGGGTCAGATGGGTAAAAGCTTGGTTACTCAATCCCCATAGGGTTGGCTTTGTATTGCACCACAGCAGAGTGCGGCTCGCCTACAGAAAAAAAAAAGAAAAAAAAGAAGAGAAAAAGTAAAAAGCAGGAGAGAGTAGTAGTGGGCGGCAGGGAAAAAAAGTGGAAGTAAAAATAGAAAGATAAGATCAGTTAATAGGAAGGGGGAGAGAGAGGAGACAGCACAGGAAAAGGAGAGAGCACAGGAAGAGGAGACCACAGGAAAAGGAGAGAGGAGGAAGAGGAGAGAGTACAGTAAGAGGAGCGAGGAGGAGGAAGAGGAGAGAGCACAGGAAGAGGAGAGAGAGGATAACGAAAAGAGCGGAGGAGGAGAAGAGAAAGTAGGACAAAAACAGCGGAGGAGGAAGAGGACAGAGGAGGAGGTGATGGGAGATGGAGGGAGAGAGATCAGATGATAGTGCATATGTTTGCTCTCTTCGAGTCAAACGGGTTCAATCGATAAAGTTGCTTGTGATTTGAACCCCATAGACTTTATGAATTCAATGGATATGGCTTGGATCCCGATAGATGCAATGAATATGGCTTTTCTAGACCCCGATACGGTTGCTCCGAACCCGATAGATCCAATGGATATAGTTTTTTCTAGAATCCAATATGTCCTTCAGGACATCCATTAACATTGGAAAGCTACATATTATATAGTATATACCTTTCTCGGCGTTGGGGCTTCAATCAAGTATAGTATCTGTTCTGATCAGTTCAATATCTGATCTGTGGTTCTGATCAGTTCAATATCTGATCTGTGGTTCTGATCAGTTCAATATCTGATCTGTGGTCCATCAGAACCACATTAAAAATTAAAAAAAAAATAAAAATGGAGCGATACAGAGAAATAAGATTTTAGCATGGGCCCTCCACAAAGATGACACACGTAAATCGAGATATGGATATAGTTGCTTGAACCCCATAGATTCTATGGATAGATATGGTTTTTCTAGAACCCAATAGATTCGATGAATTGGAGCCATACCTCCTACCATCATGGGCGACCATATCCCTCACCTCTAAAAGGAGGACACGACCACATTGTTTGCCCAGAGAAGAGTTATCTCCATTGGAACCCATCCCCTCCCCCCCCTCCCTTTTTGTCGGAAATTGGCATTCGTGTGGTTCAGCATGCATTTGGCATTTCACCTTACCTTTGAGGGGGAAAAAAAAAAAAAGGATATTTTCTTACCGAATCAGCATCGACGATCGCATTCTGCTCCGCTAGAAACGACTCTACTTCCTGTTTCTTCCGTCGCTTTAGTTCCCGCAGCCGCTGCCTCTCCTTACGGGCAATATCCTTCTTCGACGGTGACCTTAAGCCCTGACATAACAGATACACGAGTTGTGCACACTAAGTAAACCTCCTGCCAAATCATTCGCAGAAATATGGCACCCGCTTCTTTACACCCCCCCCCCCCCCCCTCTCTCTCTCTCTCTCTCTCTCTCTCTCTCTCTCTCTCACACACACACACACACACACACACACACTCTCTCTCTCTCTCTCACACACACACACGTGGTAACCGCTGTCTCTTATACACATCTAGATGTGTATAAGAGACAGGTATAATGGCGCAACACACACACACAACACACACCTAACACATTAGCATTTGCCCCTCTGCCGCTCTGCCTAGATATACTTAACAGCTCTACGTATCCGCATTTGCCA